ACCATCGCTTCCTTTACAACCATGGTTATTCTTCCTACACCATCCTCTTCCCCGTCATAACTACCCTTTTCCTTCTTCCCTTTCCCTTGGTCCTCTTCCTCATACTCCTCCCCTTATTCCCTTCCCACCCTCCTTGTCCTCTCCATTTTCCCTTTCCCTCCTCCTCCTCCTCCTCCTCCTCCTCCTCCTCCTCCTCCTCCTCCTCCTCCTCCTCCTCCTCCTCCTCCTCCTCCCTTCCCATCCTCCTAGTCCTCTCCCCTTCCCCTTTCCCTACTCCTCCTCCCTTCCTCCCTCCCTCCCCTCCCCGCCTCCCTCCCTTCCCCTCCCCCGCCTCTCTCCCTTCCCCTCCCCCGCCTCCCTACCCCTTCCCCCCTCCTCCTCACCTGGCTGCCCCACGCGTAGCCTCCGTTCTTGAGTCGGACGAGAGCGCATTCGCCGTGGATGCTCTCGATGGAAACGTCGGTGTCTTCGATGCTGTCTTGGAGGTCGTAGATGGTCGGGTTGCTCGCCGTCTCGTCCACGTTTCCCAGACACTGTTTTTTGAGGGGAAAGAAGGGGAGATGGGGTGAGTGAGAGTGAGATGGGGAGCAACGGAGGGGTTTAAAATACGAGGAAAACACTTCATATCAAATCGAAACGATGGATCCCTCCACGTGCAAGTCTATTCAAAGCAAGAGCTTCACCAAAGTTTAAGAAAAAATGAATATCAAGAATCTTTTATATACTGATATAAATAAAATTGACGAAATGCGCTTCAAATCTCTCTAAAATGAAATAATCACCTAAAACTACCCCAAACAGACATACAAAAATACATATAAAACAAATTTTTTATTTGAAAGTTTTTTTTTGTTAAAACAATTAAAAAAACACTTGAAAAACAAAACGAAAATTCTCTACAAAAAATAATAAGCACATAAACCACCCCCAAACAGACAAAACAAATTCACATCCTAAAACAAGAAAAGCCGAGGGCCCAGACGCCTACCTTGCGGCAGAGCCTCCCCGAGGAGGCGTCGTCCAGGGAGGCCAACTCCTCGTCGAAGGAGCGCAGGTTCACCTCCTTCTCCCGCAGGATCATCAGCTGGTCGTTGAGGACGGCATTTTCCTGCAAGACAAGAGCGATGAGTCTAGCGGAAAATGTGTTGGGAATATAGTGAAAAAAGACAAATGTAAATGTTTCAAAAGATGATGCCTGCTTAGAGTAAAACAGAAGAGAAAAACACACACACAAAATACTGTGTGATATTCGTATATATTTATGTATGTCTGTGTGTAAATGTGTGTGTGTGTGTGTGTGTGTGTGTGTGTGTGTGTGTGTGTGTGTGTGTGTGTGTGTGTGTGTGTGTGTGTGTGTGCGCGTCTCCTCACCTGTGACATGCATGCCAGCTGTATTTCCAGCTCCTCCTTCTTGCGGATCTCCCCCTCCTTCTCCTTCTGCAGGAGCTTCATCTTGTCCTGAAGCTCCTCGATCTTCGCCTTCGCTTCCAGCTCCTCGGCCGTTCGTTCCTCCGAGTTCTTGGCGGAAACGAAGAGTTAGAACAGAGAGAATGTCTTTTTCTATTTCTTTATCCCCTTTTTTGAGCCCCGGGATATTTTTAGTTTTATGTTTTCAGTTTTTTCTTGAGAAAAATTTTGAAATACATGAGTATCTGCTTTTTACATAAGAAATGGTTTGCCTTCTTAAAATATTTCAAAATGTCTAATCTCAATTAATTATGTTGTCACCCTTTCAATGACTGCACTTGGAATGATAAATGCTCCTTGTTGTTTAAGTTAATAACACATACATTATTATGCTGAATCAGAACAGACAAAGTTCAATTATTGTTGAAGTTGGTGATGAACAGTCTCTTAATGTTTTATATATATGAAAAATTTACATCGTAAATTCAGTTATACATTTCTTTTAAATTCTAATGCAAGAAAGGTATATGATAAAACGTTCCTTATATTTTTACATTGCATTATTCATTGCATTATATCATACAAATTGCATGAAGCAATTTTGTAATAATAAAAAAGAACAAAAAAATAATAATATTGGATTATTTTGGCAACTATGAAGTACCGAATTCAGGACATCATGAAGTAAATTATCTAATTTTATGTGTTAATCTAAATAATTGAGGAGTCAATTTCCCATTCACATTTCTAACTAATGGAAAAAATTAAAGACATCACTCAAATAGTTTTCGTCCGCATGCACGGCAACCGGGACGAGATTCTATTAAAAAAAAAACTCCCATTTCTATCCATAAATCACACAGGAAAATAAAAAGTCAATACAAATATAATTCAAAAAGAAACATGGAATCAAGAGGCAAAGTAAGAATCATAAAATGAAATAATTTAATTTAGTTTTTTTTGTCTGAAGTATTGAAAGCATGGTTAACAGATACAAAGGATATATGATAAAAACCCTAAAATAACTCATCATAAAAGAATACATGTTATTCTTTCACTATAATTCTAAGACACGCAATCTAAAATACCACACATATTACCAAAATATCAATCTGCTTTGGGCTAAAAAAATAATAATAATTACAAAAAATCGTTCAAAAAAATGAAGCCATTCCCCATTCACGAATCGCCTGCATCGGTTTTGCAAAGCTCAGAGAGGGAAATCAACTCAAAGAAACAGAGAGGGGATGCCGAGAGCGAGGGAGAGCAGTGTTACCTGGAATGCCGTGTATGGGGCTTCCTCCTGGTGCACGAAACACGAGTTAGGTTTTCTTTTGTGACATTGGCAAAGGTACAAGAACAAAAACTAAAATCTATAAATATATACATGGAAGAATTTATGAAAATAACTGATACCTAAATAAAATAGATATATAAATGAATAGTAGAACGGGTATTACATTCTCAATGGCAAGAGATGCTTTGAAAGGATGTCATATTGCAAATTGAACAATAGTAAAAGCAACGAGGAAATGCTTGCATTCCAAAAGGAAAGACACATGATATAGGCTATATCAAAATGACAAAGATATGCAAAATATAATCCATAATTTCGAAGGGAAAACATATTCTAAAAAGAACTTAATTAGATGAAAGAGAAGTTATTTCTTATGTTAAAACTAGTATAATATAGGTTACAATGTAAAGAAATTTTGATAATCTTTCTTACAATAATCAATAATCTAAATATGCTACAGCTCAAAATATGCTCATCACTGATAAAAAATGATGAAATTACAGAAAAAAAAAATATTCCCAACATAATTGAATCTTACTGATCAAAGAAATACTACACAAATCGTACGGTTTACCTTGGCAGAATAGAAATGTACAGACACAAACACTGAGACACAGATACACACACAGACACAGAGACGCACATATACGCGCACAGAGATAGATACAGATACAGACACAGACACACACGCACGCACGGCCTATGAGTGGAAGTGCATCGGGTATTCGAGAATTTCCTGAGAGGTCACTGGTTTGGCATGTCTATAAAGGGGAATTTCCTTGGATTATATTTGAAGACATGGAAATTCTTAATGCGCCTCTAATAAAATTCCTATCAGATGCCCTGTGCGCGCATACGCACATGGACTCTGTAAACACACACACACAAACAACAAAGCAAATATGTAAACACTTCTCCAACCTTCTCACACTAATCTCCACTCCCCCCCCCCCTTTACCCCTCCCCACTCAAACCCATTTCCCTCCTCCCTCACCCCTCCTTCCCCTTCCCTTCCCTTCCCTTCCCTCTCGCCCCCCTCCCTCCCTCCCTTCCCCTCCCTCCTCTCCCCCTCCCTCCCTCCTCCCTCACCCTCCCCTTCCCTTCCCTCTCGCCCCCCTCCCCTCCCCTCCCTCCCCTTCCCTTCCCTCACCCTCCCCTCCTCCCTTCCCTTCCCTCTCGCCCCTCCTCCCTCCTCCTCCTCCCCTCCCTCCCTCTCCCCCTGCTCACCTGTGGCGTATTCTCGCACGAGTGAGAACGGCGCAAGTTCTGTTCGTCGAGGATGATGGACCTGCGTTTGTTCCTCCCTCGCTGCTGCTGCTGCGCCCCCGACCGCGCCTCCTCCAGGCTCTTCTGCAGCTCATCGCAACGGGCCTCAAGGGACTCGAGGGTGCTGCAGAGGCTGGGGGGGGGAGACGGAGATATGAATATATTTAAAGAGAGAGAGTGACAGAGAGGGAGAGAGGGAGAGGGTGAGGGTGAGGGTGAGGGAGGGAGAGAGGGAGAGAGAGAGAGAGAGAGAGAGAGAGAGAGAGAGAGAGAGAGAGAAAGAGAGAGAGAGAGAGAGAGAGAGAGAGGGAGAGAGGGAGAGAGGGAGAGAGGGAGAGATGGAGATAAACAATTACCAGATAGGTAGACAGATTAAAGAAAAGGAGAAACGAGAGAGAAACAGACAGAAAGACGAACAGGAACACAAAACCACACACAAACGAAACCATATCAAATAAAAAAAAACCACGATATCAAAAAAGAATAATAAGAAAAAAGAATAACAAAAATACCAATAATACTAAAGAAAACGCCAACTCCTGGCACTCACTTCTTGATCTTCTTCTTGTCGGCCGCGCTTTCCGCCGAGAGCCTCTGGTTGTTCTTCTCGAGTTCCTGGATCGAGATTTCCAGCTGCTCGTAGATCCTGAGTCGGGAGTCGTTGACTTCCCGCAGCGCCGCCGTCTGCTTGCTCAGGTACTGCGGGGGGGGAGAAGAGGGAGGGGTTAGAATAATTAACGCAGGTGAGAGAGAGAAGATTCGTGGGGAGGGGGGGAGGGAGGAGGGGGGGAGGAGGGAAGGGGAAAGGAGGAGGGGGGAGGAGGGAAGGGGAAAGGAGGAGGGGGGAGGGGGGAGGGGGGAAAGGAGGAGGGGGGAGGGGGAGGGGGGAAAGGAGGAGGGGGAGGGGGAGGGGGAAAGGAGGAGGGGGGAGAGGAAGGAGGAGGTTCATTGGATTAATTAAAGCAGGTGAGACGGTAGGTTGAAGGTGTGATGTTTAGGGTTAAGTTATATATGAAAGGTGTGATGTTTAGGGTTAAGTTAATATATGAGTTTTGAGAAATCGTATCCAGTAGGTGAGGTTTTAGATTAATGAGAGAGGTGTAAGTACCTTGCTTAGGTACTTGGGGGGGGGGCAGTAGATTAATTAACGCAGGGGGGGGGGGGCGGTAGTTGGGGTGTAATGTCTGGGGTTTAATTCCGTAGGTGGGAAGTGTAACGGTTAGTTAAGTTGGCGAGGTGTCAGGTTAATCATAGTGTAATTATGTTAATGAGAATAGCTATTAAGTGGGTTGATTAAGGAGGATTAGTTGGGTGAAATATTCGGTTAGTCAGAGAGGTGCAAATACGGGTCGACTTCGGTCTCTTCAGATTGGTCTTAATCAATTTGGTAAAGATGTTAGGCTTGAGTTGACAGAGGAAATCGAGCTGCTTAAATACCCAGTTCATTTAAGGAAAGTAATAGAGTAAATGAGATATTAGCCAAATCAGAATTAATCAAATCAGGTGAAATATTATTATTTTTTTATAAGATTCATCAGCCAAGTAAGATATGCGATTAATTACCCATGAGAGGGGATATGCTAATCCCTTTCTTGCATGATTAGATCGGCCGTCTTTTAAACAGAAATATTAACAAAAGTAGAAAAGTTATTAGAGAAAAAGGAATTTATTGATGATGTTAGAGATTCTAGTGGATATAAATGGCACCGAAACGCGTCGATTACCTATCTTGATGTAATTCGATCTCATTCATTTTTTCTACGATCGTCTTGTGTTGATTGGTTGTCCGATTAAAGTAATTTGTGGCGATATATTTCTCTTATCCAGAAATTTACTTTACCTTTGTCATTATGTCTGCTTCTTTAGAATATAATTAACTAGTTCTAAAATTTAATTATTGACATTTATTGATAGGAATGAACCATTCGCTATATTTAAGTTTTTACCATTTATTTTTCTGTCACTGCTAATGTGATTAAATCGACTACTTAAATGAAAAATAAAAGATATATGATTAATAAACCTTTCGTTACGCAATGTAATTTACTTCAACGGTATCTAACATAGAGAAAAAAAAGAGAAAGAGAGAAAAACCGAAGCACAATTTGAAATGCAAGAAGTGTCGCTGACGGAGATTTTCGCGCCGTTTTCCCACGTTCGACGCCACAAGTATGCGCGGACAGATGGACCTCCGCCCCCCCCCTCCGTCTTCGCTCTTAACCCCTCTCTTCCTTTGCTTGGGTTTTTTGACGTATCACTTTCTTTTCTCTTCCGTTTTTGTCGTATTTCAGTAATTTTATTATTTATTCCCCCTCCTCTCACCTTTCACTTCTATGTTACATCATCTTCCCTCTCCCCTTCCTCCTTCCCTCTTCCAACTCTCATTCCCCTCCCTCTTTCACAATTCTCCTTCTCCTCCCTATTCCCCCTTCTGCCCTTGTCTTTTCTCCTCTCCTATTCCTCTCCCATTCCCTACCCCTTTATTATTTTTTTCTCTTCCTCTTCCCTCTCTCCTTCCCTTTCCCTCTTTTCCCCTTCTTCCTCCCTCCTCCCTCCTCCTGCTCTCTTTCCTAATATAAATATCTTCAAAACATAACACCGTTATTCTCCGCATCGAGAACCTTTGAGTAAGACGATCCATCTCTCTCTCTCCCGTCATTCGTAAGCTTCGTAATCTTCCTCTTCATAAAATTGATAATTCATACCTGTCTCTTACCATTTCCTCCTTCGCAATCCTCTTGTTAACTCAATCCGTTTATTGAGCACTTCCGTCTTTACCTATTTCACCCCCCCTTCCTAATTCCTCCCTTTATCGCCTTCCTCCCTAACCCCGCCTTCGTCTCTCCCCACCATACCCCCTCCCCCACTACCCCATCTCAGGTCAAAGGTCACGAATCCAGGAAGTTCAAATAGTTAGTTCCAAAAATGGAGATTAAATCGCGCTTCTTGAATTACGTAATATTTGCCTCATCATCATTTTATCGGATCCATCTGCACGTGATCTCGAGGTTAAAAAAAGAAGCTATGGTTGACCTCCAAGATAGCAAACTGAATTACAGACTTTTATACTTGTTCACTATTTTTTTTTATCGTCATCATCATCGTTATCATTAGTACTGAGCTAATCTTCCTAAAAGTTTTAATCATTTATATCATTATCGTCATTGCAGTCATCACCATCATCGTCATTATCAATATCATAATCAACATCAAATCGCTTTCATAAAACGTTCACAATTTCCAACTTTACTCTTATCAGCATGACGACAACGGATCTAAAAGGAAGTAACATCCTTTGCCAAACCTATTTACGTTGCCAGCTCGTACAGTTACGTTGACAACATGAGTAACACTGCAATTGACCGTTTCAGTAAAAATTACCCGAGAATTACTGTAAAAAGGCGTTTGACCTTTCAATGCGATGTAGGAGTGGTGATTGGGAACCGCTAGATGTAACAGGGAGAGAGGGAGATAGGGGGAGGAGGGAGAGGGAGAGGGAGAGGGAGAGGGAGAGGGAGCGGGAGGGAGGGACGGTGGGAGAGAGAGAGAAAATATATACAAGAAAAAAATATAGAAGAGGAGGAAAGGGAAATGGAGAGAGGGAGGGAGGAAAGGGAAATGGAGAGAGGGAGAGGGAGAGAAAAAAAATATTTAAACTACTCTGATACACACATGCACCTAAATCCTTAAAATACCGTATTTCATTCTGAGAAATTTCTGTGGGAAAATGATGATGACGATGATGATACTAATAACGATATAATATACATATATGATATAACAGAACCAAATAATGCGGTCGATAATACTAATGTTCCCATCGATACTAAGAATAGCAACAACAACAAAACAAAAGCCACAGTAATACCGTTAGCAAAAGACACCGATCAATCAGTCCCATAAAACCGTTTAAAAAGCAACAGAAAATATAACGTCGATCTTTCCTAACGGTCGCTGATACAAACTTAATCAACTTTATTAAAAGGGTATCATGCCCTTCCCTGCTTAACACGCCCTGATACCCGCCCTGTGTATAGCGTCCCCTTCGCCCAGTATGCCTTGTGGTGTCTACTGCCATTACCGCCAATGGTACGAATGCGACAATAGAGCCAGGACTTCGGCTTGATCGGAGTTAAATCATCCATGATTATCTGTATTTCATCATGTACGAATTCGAACAGTATTGTAATACATGTGACAGATTTGCAAAATTTAACTGAAGTCCAGACGTTGTCATGGTTAATAAATAAGTTACATGCACCTTAAACCGAAGTCTGGGCTCCATCACCGCATTCGCGTGGTTTGCGGTAATGGTGGCAACTAAGTACAGTATATCCGTACGAGTGGATGAAAGGTAATGAAGAGAAAAGAGGCAATGAGCATTTTCGTAATTTATTTGGGTGTTAATGGGTTTGTATGGTTTCCGGGATTTAATGTAATCTATAATTCAATTGTGAACTGAGTAGTTGTCCGTCGTTAAGCTCGTTAATTGTCACTTGGTAATTCGTATTAGTGTCACAGGCACAATCAGACACAGACACTGACGGAAAGACAGACAGACAGACAGACAAACAAACAAACACACACACACACACAAACCATGCACGCGAAGAGACATTTCCACATTCAAAGGAATGAACGTCCGGCGGTTTCCTGGTCCCCAATCACCGCCGACCTCTCTGTCACCATGTGTTCCTGGCTTCCAAGGGTGACGTAACCGTGCAATCCTTCTCCCTCTCCCCTCACTCTCAAGCCTCTGTTTCCCCTTTCCATTTCACTAGAGTCTCCCCTACCCCCCTTTCTCCCCTTCCCAATTCTATTTTATATAATCCCCTCTACATTTTTTTCTCCCACTCCTATTTACATTTTCTTTCTCCTTTTCTTTTAGCTCTTTCTCCTATCCGTTTTCCCCTTTCCCCACTTACATTTCCGTTTTACCTCCCCTTCCCTATCTCTGCCTTCTCTTCCTCCTCTTCCCTCTCTTTTTCCTTTCTCCTCCTCCTCTTCCCCCTCCTGCTTTCCCTCCTCGTTCTCCTCCTCTTCTTCCTCTACCTCATTATCATTATTACTACTGCATTAGTATCGTTAATACTATTCCTACTACTACAATAATAATAATAATAATAAAATTATCATCATAATTGCAATCTTTATTTTTATCATTACTATCATGTAATAACAATTATTATCATTATTATGTAATAATAATTATCATCATTATTATGTAATAATAATTATCATCATTATTATGTAATAATAATTATCATCATCATTATCATTACTATCACCATCATCACCAATATGCTCACCACTCATCAAAATCTAAAACAAATAAATAAATAAATAAATAAATAAAATGAAAAATAAAAAATAAAAAATAAAAACAAAGGAAACTTGCATAATATCACACAGCATGTCACAGGCCTACCCCCAACCACAGACTATATAGCAACCATCATTTCACGGTCTGTAGCGGGGAAGGTGAACATTATTCGCATTTCGGCCGTTCAGGTAAGGTAGAAGGAAATTTAGGAAAAGGTGTATTTAGATATATATATGTATATATATATATATATATATATATATATTTACATATTCGTTCATGGGTGTGTAAGTGCATGTATGTTATATGTCCATGTGGCGAATTCTTTCTCCCTGTCTGTTCCTCTTCCTCCTGAGTCTTTCTTTTAATCTTTTCATTATCCGCCCCCCCCCCCCCCCAACACACCTTCTCACACGCACACGCACACACACTCACACGTACACATACACATACACATACACTCACTCACACGCTCACACTCATGCTCACACGCACACATACACATACACATAGTCTCACACTCGTGCTCACACGTACACATACACTCACACAAATGCAACCCCTGCCCCCTCCCCTCTACCATCAACTCAACAACCCAGCGACCAAACTGCCCCATCGACCTCATTACCCGGAGCGGCGTGGTGATTAGCCGAGTTCTTTAGCGCCGGCAATTAATCGTCCGCATTCCCTCATTCCCGCATTCCCGC